GCCCAATTTGATCTGGGCCCGAGGTGGGCTTAATAGCCGGCGACTACTGTATAGCGTTTGCGATTAACTTTAAGCTGGCAATAAGTACAATTATTTATTACAACGAAAACCTTTCTGTTTTGAACCTCAAGCCGAATGCTCATGCATGGAAATCACATATGTGTGCATCGATAAGCGTCTAAAAGTAATATCTCATGTTTTTGAAAGTAGATTCTGTGAAACCTGTGTGTGATTTCAAATTTTTAACTTTCTTGACCGTTAAGTATATTCATAAAAATGAAACGATTTTTTGATGTACATTACAAGTGATGAACCCGAACGAAAACATAATGACGACTCGCAGGGAGCTGTGCATTACGAGCAGCTAAAATGTTAGATACCTTTGGAAAATCAAATCTTAACAGGAGCAGGAGCAACGGCGCCTGATATGTGCACTCGTCAACCACTAATGCCAAAGGGCCATCAAATTTGCCTGAGCATTTAAACATATGACGTAGCACTCCAAGTTATTTTTCTCTTATTTTATATGGCTACACGTTGGGTCATTTAAACTACCGAGTTTTCCGGTTAGTGCCTCTACAAGATACTCGACCACGAAAGCTACTAACTCATTAAATTTTTACGGAGAAAATGCCCATTAAATATCTAATGAGCTGGCATTCATATATGACCTACTATTTCTATATTATATTACTATTCGAAAAACTTTTAATACATGACATGTTTATTGTGTTAAAAGTTTTTCAATTACCCGAATTGTCATATATAATTACGAAAGCTTGTGAATATAGTACCTATTGTTTAAACTAATGGAAGAGGAGGCGTTATTTCGTAGTAGACGCCTCGAAAGCGAAGGTCACGTTGAGTTTGCCTCGCGCACAGTACTATCAAAGGTCCGTTAAACCTCCTTAGGTAGGAGTCAGTCTGTTTAACTATCACGTACTACACCCATTACGTGCACCAAATATACATATACAGCTTGTCAATTCCGTCTGAAACACATTTTCTAAATAAGGAACAACAATATATGTGATAATGGGTTGAAACAGATTTATAATGGTAGTAGAGCTACAAACACTCCTCTGAGTGAACAGTGGTGATATTCTGCAATTAAAAAATATCGCGCGTGTTCGCTCAGAGGGTTTTGCAGCAAGATTTTTCACGAGATCTAACGCAGAAGAAGACTCACGGGTAGCTATTCCAAGTCGAGATGACAACTGCTTACTGTGGTAATGTCGCTATAGTTTTGCTACCTGAGTGCAGATTATGTACAATACGTCGCTCTCGATAAGACAGTGAAAAGTTGTCGGGCAGCGTTAATTCTGTATATCGTAGCTTAGCTTTTATTCACGTTTGTATCTATCACTTACGACAGTTATTCAATCCCGAACCTCCTCAGATGACTCCTCGCCCAATGTCTCTCACTGTATGCTGAAATAACTTAACTGTTTTGTTTTCGGAATGTTTATTGTGAAAATTATTTCATACACCCAAATTTAATTGAACCCCGGTTATTCGGTGGGGGCCGGTAATGAGCATGGGAAAAGTATATTAGGAGGTTAATATGACAAACCGTCGGTTTAGCTTAATATGGAGTCCGACTAAGTACGTCGCCTCCTAAATGCATTCAGCAATCTTTTGAGACGCTTGGCGAAGGTGACCCCTAGTTAATCAACTTCGACACGACCGCCCATTTCCCAAATAACCTTCACCTTTATTTTGCAGTATATACGGGCATATGTCACACAGACTTCCTTCCACAATTGTATCTTTAGAAATAATCTTTAAAGTTGCTTCGTTATTAGAGAAAGCAGAAAATCCCACCTAGACGAAGTCATTGGCATTTTTCTATCCAGGCAGGCCGCCAATATTCTGAACAAAAAAACTTTAAACGTTATCAGGCACTTCTGTAGTAGGGGTCTCTGAGTATTTTATTATTTCAATAAAATCCATTTCTGGTCCGGATCGGTCGTCTAACTGGATTTTGCCGTGAAGCCAGCTATATGCTGCTGGTCCGTCGAAGCAATTTAAGTTTTCTCTTGATCAGCCAAGTCAACTGTTTGCTTGTGATCCGATTTCCCTTCCACAATGCTGCCTTGAACCGTGAATAAAAACTTTTCGACTGGCTTAAATAATGTTGGTCTGACCCACCATGCCGTCCCAGTTCTCCGCTTCTAACGTGAACGCGCGTCGTGGTAGGCCCGGTTTGGCCTTCACCACCTTTCTTTATTTCCAACTACCGGCGAGCCTTATGGTCTTATCACATGCCAAAAGGTTTAGCTAGCAAAAAGGAACGGAAGGTAAGTATTGCTAATAACTCGCATGAAACAGTTTCACTGTAGCTGGGACACTGTGTAACTTTCGAAATAGACTGGTCTCCCGCTGAGATCCAAATACGCCTTTGATAGGGCGGACGCGCCGGCGCCTCTTTAGACTTATTAATTAGAACCCGTATTTTCTTGGCTCTATCTCGACGCCGCGCTCAGGTGCGTGAGTTATTGCGGTAGATTCTACGCAACCTTACTGTTTACATATCATTGTTCCTGCGTCGGTGGCGCCACAGTTACCGATTGGACATGCGTCACCAACTAGATTCTGCGGTTCTAGTAGTAAGTTTAAATTATTGCAGTAGTATAGCAGGTATGTAAAGAGATATAGAGGACACCGCGTTTAGTTAATACAAATCATTTTGCCCGCCCTTTTATTCTGACAACGTCGCCGACTATCCTTGATTTGGGTCAATTTAGACGCAGAATGACCACGGGTATCCACATTGTAAACGAAGCATGATTGTCGCACAATTCAGTGTTGTTAGACTATCGATAACAAAACCCTTTGGAAAATTATTTAAATTCTATTGAGTAGCATTAAAAAAACTAGTACTATCAAACCGTACTCATATTATGATGAATTCGTTCCATACCGAAAACTAAATTGGTATTTTAACAATACTGCTCATATTGCGGGCTACGCAGTAAGTGCGCTAGACCAACAAGGTATGGCAGGCACTGTTGTGATGCACATCCATAATAAATGGAGAGGTTTTTTATCCTGCCTAGACGCAAGCTTACGTCGCGCCAGCCGCCTGCGCTCGCACTCGCCTCCGGTTTTCCGGGCTCTTCGTGGCGGGGAAGAGAGAGAGCAGTGGGTATTGTGCACATTTACTATCACTAAACTATTTCACACGCAAACCACTGTCTCTGTGTCCTGGCTACCGTAGTCCATGCAGTTAACGTAATCGGTAAGGACGGTTGAACTTTCGAATAGCGATAAGTTTGAAAAGTTGCTCTAGGAGTAAATTTTGCCTTGTGGTTCTGTCTAAAATGCTTTGTGGTTTTGGAGTGCAGCAAAGTTTGTGAAGTTGTAAAATAAGATTTTTTCTCTCGCGCTACATTTAAAACCCAATTTTCTTGATTAGACTAATGACAAAGCCAGAGTGTTTTCCCGCCCTGCAAAATGACGTTGTTCTACGGGCGGCCAGGGGTATGCCGGTTCCATACACACCGGTCTGGATTATGCGTCAGGCCGGCCGTTACCTGCCGGAATTCCAGGCTGTCCGTCAGAGGCATGGATTTTTCGACATTTGCCGTTCTCCAGAGCTAGCCTGTGAAATAACTATTCAGCCTATAAAGAGGTTCAATCTGGATGCGGCAATTATTTTTTCCGATATTCTCGTCATCCCGCAGGTTAGTTTTTAATTCCTCATCTGCGTCTAAGTCTTCTCCAACAAGTTAATAGCTTTTGGAGACCTAGACTGTATTTTTTGAATCAAACAATTTTGTGGTCCTTCTGCATGTTTGAAATTTTCTCCATGTTCAGTTGTCGTTTTTTTCTCATCAGAAATAGGTAAAATAGTCAAAGGTACTGACACCAAATTGTCGAAGTTTTTAGTAAAGATTCACAGGGACTATTACTTACTTGTACTGGTTACGGCTGTGATCATGCCTGATCTAGCCGGCCTCA